TTTTCTGTCTAATTTGGGCTAAAACATGATTCGTAAAATACATATTTTATACAATATACAGCGTTACCTAAAAACTCTATAGTACAGTTAGTAGTTACAATATCGAACTTAAAAAATGTAGTTTGTTGATATTTGCCTGCCATTCTCAGGTATACAAGTATTTCATAGGTATAGGACAGCCCATCATAATGTTTTTCTTACCATGGTAGTCAACGGTTACACTGCAAATAAATAAATAAATAAATATATTCTCAGAGAGTTTTTGTCTTGTTTCTAGTCATAGTATTTAAAAATTCTTAAATCAAGAAGCTTTTTCTAGAAAAGCAAAAGTATTGTCTTGTTTAATGAAATAGAGAAAAAAAATCTAGATCGTTTACCAGTGGGGTAAGAAAAGCAGACTTGTTTTTCTTTTTAAGAAGATTATTTTGCTTGTTTTAAGAAATTAATTAGTTTTGACACACTCACCGGCCACTTTATTAGGTACACCTTGTTAGTACCGGGTTGGACTCCCTCTGGCCTTCACAACTGACTTAATACTTCATGGCATCGATTCAACAAGGTACTGGAAATATTCCACAGAGACTTTGGTCCATATTGACATGATAGCGTCACAGCTCCTGTAGATTTTTGGGCTGCAAATCCATGATGCGAATCTCCCATTCCACCACATCCTAAAGGTGCTCTATTGGATTGACATCTGGTGACTGTGGAGGCTACTTGAGTACAGTGAAATCATTGTCATGTTTAAGAAACTAGTCTGAGATGATTTGCACTTTATGATATGGTGTGTTATACTGCTGCAAGTAGCCATCAGAAGATGGGCACACTGTGGTCAAAACGGGATGGACATGGTCAGCAACAAAACTCAGGTAGGATGTGGTGTTGACACAATGCTTAATTGGTACTAATGGGCCCGAAGTGTGCCAACAAAAGATCTCCAACACCATTACACCACCAACAACAGCCTGAACAGCAGAAATCGAGACTCATGCAGGCAATGTTTTTCCAATCTTCAATTGTACAATGTTGGTGAGCCTGTGTGAATTGTAGCCTCAGTTTCCTGTTAAGAAAGGTGTGGTCTGCTGCTGTAGCCCATCTGCCTCAAGGTTTGACGTGTTGTGTGTTCAGAGATGCTCTTCTGCAGATCTCGGTCGTAACAAGTGGTTATTTGAGTTACTGTTGCCTTTCTGTCAGCTGGAACCAGTCTGGACAATCTCCTCTGACCTCTGGCATCAACAAGACATTTGCACACACAGAACTGCCGCTCACTGGATATTTTCTCTTTTTCAGACTATTCTCTGTAAACCCTAGAGATGGTTGTGCGTGAAAATCCCAGATCAGCCATTTCTGAAATACTCAGATCCGCCTGTTTAGTTCAAAGTCACTTAAATCACTTTTCTTCCCCATTCTGATGCTCGGTTCTCCCTCAATAAGACTATGGATTACTTATTCATCTTTAACCAGTTTATCCAATATTTGTGCACATTATAATTTTACAAAGTCCCCTAAAAAATAAGAAAATACTGAATGTTGAATAAAACCAAAAAGAATTCTCCAGTATTGATTCATAGCAGCATCACATCATCAGCAATCAATATGTTAACGTCAACGCCTATGAGCAGAGCATTAGTGGAGACCTCAGCAGTACACATGAGCTGCTGCCTATGAACAGTGTTCCAAATCAATTACTCATGAGCTTCCAATCCACTCTAAGAAGACAGCTGCCTATGGAGGGGCCAGACTGCAGTGGTCTGATCATAAAGTAAAGAGACATACAGACCTTATAATAGATGCAGCGGACTACGTGATGGGTCAGTTTGACAAGACAGTTCATTGCGGTCAGCTTTTTCACACTACTCAATGACCTCCAGCATGCACCAGTGAGAAGAAGAGCACAAGGTCAAAAAAGTCCAAAGATCAGGACTGTCAGACGCATCAATCCCGAAGAAGCCGCAGATTAACGTGATATAAGAGTAAAAAAATGCATGTAGTGCCGGACGCTCCGGGGAAGAAATGGAAAAAAGTGACCTTTTCTCTGGCAAAGCAGACGCTCTTTCTGACAGCTGGATTTTCCAAAACTCACCACTGTTAGCAGGATGGGGTTAGAGAGATAAGCGTGCTATGAGAGACTGAGAGATTATGTTGAGAAATATGAAACTGATGGAAATCGGACAGGCGTGAAAGTTGCTCTGATCAGGGTCTGGCAGCCTGCGGCCCGTCGGGCTCCACAAAGCTGCGGGTCTGAGCCAAAGCAGCCGATTGTGACAGAATTGTATTCTGGATGATGCTGTCAGCAGCTCACATCCACCAACATCCAGCAGTGCTTTCCCTACTCATATTAAAGGGTGTGTATAAAAATCAGACTTTTTCCATGTTTAAGCAGGGTGAGAAATTTACATTGATGGCCGGCAAGTATTCTGACCTATAACTAGGCCCACATGGAATCTGCGCGCAGGTTTTCCGCAGATTTTTAGCCGATCATTAATTCTGTTTATTTACTTGAGTAAATGTGTGTAAATCTATATTATTAATTGACTAATATGAAAATGTTCATCTGATTTATGTAAATCAAAGGCGGCAACACCAAGGCTCCAAAAATACAAATTTATTAAATTAAAAAGGCTGACACAAAGCGTGTAACGCTTCGAGCCGCCGGCTCTTCATCAGAAAATGTTTATCACAATCAGGTGCTTCTTTTTATACACTTCCGGATCACATGATCTCCTCTCGCATATATGCCAACATATACATACATGCATATGTATACATACACAATCGTTTATATATACATATACATACACATGAATACATGTATACACATTCACATATATAGTCTATAGCTTTGATATTATAAATCAAATTACAAAAAATATATATATATAAATACATAAATAAACTATAATATTACATCACAAATTATAATAAATAAAAATAAATAAATAAGGAAAAAATATATATATATAATATATATATTTTTTTCCTTATATATTTTTTTCCTTATTTATTTATTTTTCTTTATTATAATACAGTACACATGAGCAGTATATATAATATATATATTTTTTCCTTATATTTTTTTTCCTTATTTATTTATTTTTCTTTATTATAATTTGTGATGTAATATTATAGTTTATTTATGTTTTTATATATTTTTTTGTAATTTGATTTATAATATCAAAGCTATAGACTATATGTGAATGTGTATACGTATTTATGTGTATTTATATGTATATATGAACGATTGTGCATGTATACATATGCATGTATATGTTGGCATATATACGAGAGGAGATCATGTGATCCGGAAGTGTATAAAAAGAAGCACCTGATTGTGATAAACATTGTCTGATGAAGAGCCGGCGGCTCGAAACGTTACACGCTCTGTGTCAGCCTTTTTAATTTAATAAATTTGTATTTTTGGAGCCTTGGTGTTGCCGCCTTTGATTTACATTTAATTTGCACTTTTTGTGGTTTTGGCTGAGCACCCATTTAAGAGAGACGTGCGTGCTTTTGTACAGTTTTTTCATCTGATTTATGTACAATGCAGTGTACAGTAATATTTTCTGTCTTTTAGTAGATGTATATTATATGAGACTTGCTTTGTTTACCAAATAAAGTGAATCTAATTGGATTTGCATTTCAAACATTAAATAAAAGTTAAAAAGATATTAATTTTTAATTCACATATGCAGGTTTAAGTTATGATGCTCCCAAAATAATTCAGCAGAAATCCGCAGATTTTTACCAAAGTTCTCTGCAGAAATAGCAAAAAACATCCGCAGATTCCATCTAGCCCTACCTATAACCTCTGATTAGCTGTTTCAGTGTACTGTAGGTCAAGCAATGCAAACTTACTTTACTTTAAGGCAATATGTAGATGCAAACACTTACTTTAAGAGAAAAGTGTCTTGTTAACATTTACAGAGTCCATCGGTGCTCTAGATCTGCTGGTTTCAAACTGAATAGCAATAATATACATTGAAAATGCTATGAACCGTTATAGGGGGTGTCAAATGTTCATTCATTTATTCTTCTTCGGCTTAGTCACTTATTTATCAGGGGTCCCCAGAGTGGAATGAACCACTAACTATTCTGGCATTTGTTTTACGCAGTGGATGGCCATCCAGCTACAACTCAGTAATGGGAAACACCCATACACTCTCATTCATAAACACTATGGCCAATTTAGTTTATTCAACTCACCTATAGCGCAAGTCTTTGGACTGTGGGGGAAACGGAAGCACCCGGAGGAAACCCACACCAACACGGGGAGAACATGCAAACTTCACTCAGAAATGCCAACTGGCTCAGCTGAGACTCGAACCTGCGACCTTCTTGCTGCGAGGAACAGTGCTAACCACCATGCGTTAAATGTTTATTTATATTATTTTAATTGTTGATATTTGTTTAGTGTACAAAATAGTAAGAAAACAATTATTATATATCCCAAAAATAGAGAGAAATATGGATAAAATGATTACACATAGCTATTTTAAGTTTGTTTAAGGGTTTTTTTATCACTGAAAAGAAATAAAGAACTTTTTACATACAAGTAAACTGAAAATACAGGAGAAGAGATTATTTTGGATCATTCAGAAGGTAATGAGTGGGATGAGAAAAATGTCAAATATTAAAATGTAAACAATAAATAAGGATAGAATAATCTAATTTAATATTTAGCCTATTAAAAATATAATAGATGATAAACCCTGAAATGTTTAAAATACAGATAAATTAAATACATAAATTGCTATTTCTTTATAACAATTACATAGAGTTCATGGACAGGATAGTGGGTGAGGAAAAGACTAAGGTAAACTGAGAACAAAAAAGCAGAATATAATCTTTTCAATAGTTGTTGTTATTTTTACTTTACAAAGTCATTGAAAATAATAAACGCGGAATGTCTTGTACCTACAAATACTGACCAAATAAAAGAAGAAGAAAAAACCGTTTTCTTGAAGTAGAGAAACGGGGTAGAAATGTATACAGTGTCACACCTGTAAAGGAGAGTCTGAACCTGCCAAACAGACTTTGAGGACACACTCCAGACAGCAGCGTCCGTCCACATGCCGTGTAATCTTCTTTAAGGCGGGACCAAACGACTTTGTTATGATGTTCATGAAAATTTATGGCGCTCCTATTTCTCCTCTGGCGAGTTTCAGGTGCTGCTCGGCGTCTGAGGAGGTAAATCAGACCAACATTCCTCGATGAAAAACACACATCATCGTGGCTTTCTCCTTCCGGGATGTTTTCTCATCATAATCAATGAAAAAAACAACATGATTTGACTTTGAACGACCTTGCCTTTTCGAGCATTTTCTGGGAACTTAACCTTTTCTGGTTGCATTTTTAAATATCAATGTACTTCACCACAGCGTTCAGCGGTTTTAATAACCACACTGCCATCTAGAGGTAACACGGTTATCCATATTTTACCAGAACCACTCTTTAAAGTCCATTTTGCCAGATTTGATTAAAAACATCAACCTTTCCCAAGTCAAAAGAGATTACCATGCGTTTGATCCTGCATCATTTATTTATTTGGCCAGCAGGCTGGTTTCTCACCTGAGGTTTGATCTGATTAGGCCTTTTTTTCCTCTAAAAGATGATTTTTTCTCCTGAAGATAAGTGTGTCAACCTCCTCACAGTCAGGGCTGCTGTAGGCCGATAAGCCACGTTCCTGTGTGACTAGCAGGTTTGAACCAACATGGCAGATACCATTTATCAGATGCTGATTATCAACAAACTAGGTTTCTTTTAAGAATCATGTCTATATCGGTGCACACACAAACAGTTTAACACAGGTTTACCAGGCCTGTAGTCGGGGGGTGAGGGGTGGGTGGGTTCGGAAGACCCACACCTAACTCACAAAAGTCCAGAATTTGTCCCATACATGAGCTCATTTGTCCTGTTTTGACTGCTATGTCATCATAAATGATGGAAATAATCCATCGAAAAAGGCTTTTTAGACCAAACGAAATTGCTTTGGTGGAACTACAATCTGAAGTAAGAGAAGTCTTCTTTTACTACTGTATTGTTTTTAAACAGAGAAACATTTTACAGGTAACTTTATTCTAAATGTTGGGCCTTATTTCTGAAATAAAAATGAGCAATAAAAAGGTGTGAAGCACCAGAAGCAGACCATATTAAATTATTTAAATATATTTTGGCTATTTTGGATATCCAGGAATTTTCAAATGTTCTAAATGTAATAATGAAGAATCCATTGTTATTGCATTATATATATATATATATATATATATATATATATATATTTTATTTTTTTTTTTTTATTTTTTTTTTTTTTTCTTTCTTTATTGAAATGGCCAAATTGTGGCTGAGGACAGTTGAATGTACTGACCAGTTTGTTTTTTGTCTATAAAATGATAGTAGACTTCATTTTTTTTACTTTAAAACTTTAACAGATTGCTTTTTTTCTAATGATATATAATGTAATACATTTGTATTTTAAAAATGAGTCTTGTCTTAATTTTTTTATTGCAATTTTTTTGAAAATATTTTTTGTACATCAAAAAGTGTGCGATGACATCTGAGTTAATGAAGCAAAAAAAAAAAAAGTCACTAAAAGTATTTAAATCTCATAGTTAAAAAGAAACTGAGGCGTATAACTGCAAAAAGGTCCACTTTTTGAGAAAAAAAGAACCACCCCTTTCACCAGGCTAGCTAAGGGCTGTTCACTGTTATAAACTGCAGCTCCTATAGCATTTAGGGAACATTTTTGATATCTTGATCAGATATAAATGATTCATTAAATCATGCAGCTTGGTGGAGTGATGAATATTAGAACTTTTCAGATTATAAAGTGGTCCAAAAAGTCCCTCCGAGTTGGAGCAGTTGGCATAATGAGGCATGATCTATATGATATCAATCTAAAAGTTTATGCTAGATTCAGAAATGAACTTTTCTAACAAGGGGCAATATTTGCACACTGCAACTTATTTAACTTCATGATTACAGATTTACCTTATTAATTGTATCTGTGCTGTATTTTATGTAGAATGCTATATTTAACTTGCATCAATCTTTCAGAAAACAATAAAATGTTACCAATAACAACTAACTGTTTAAAATGATAAATAAATAAATAAAAGTAAAAAATAGGAACTCCATGACTCCAAGGCAGTGGCGGTTCTAGTTTAGATGGCACCCTGGGCGAACCACCCCATACATCCCCCTCCTTCCTTTTACATAGTTACATTTATTTTTTTTTAAATGTTAAATATTATTTATATATTTTTTTAATAAATACAATTATTAATAGTATTATTATATAATTATTATTCGAAATAAATAACTAAAAAATAAATAAATAGAAAAAATAGAAATAAATAGAAATAAATAGAAATCCATTCTAAATGTTACTGAAAAACAATGCAACAACTAAATGACATGCTAAGATCACGTTAAGAAATCTTTTGGATGAATATTAATCATTACAATTCTATAGAATACAAAAAATAAATACGTTTTATAGAATTATTTGTTGTCTTAGACCTGATGTGTTCACCTAACCCTACCATCACAGTGATGTCATTCACTCCATTGAGTGCATTATGTCTGACATTGCATCGCTGAGTGTTGCAATCTCAGCTTGCATCATAAAGGCTGCATCCAGATACTATTGGACTCATGGGCGAGAATTAATGTTGTAAAGTCTTACATCGCTTACTCTTTATCCCTCCTTTCTGCTTTATGCTTAGTGAAAGTAACATAATCATCATATTACATAAACTTTAGTTTTGTCGGCTTGCAAAACTCGCTGCGTGCCGATACCGCTGTACAGGCTGTTACTCCGGCTTCACGCCGCATGAGTGCCATGTATTTTATCGGCGTGCATGCAAACAACTGGGATTCACACAGTGTGTGAGGCGCGCAGAATTGTTTTCTTCGTGCATTCGTCAGTTTGCTTTCACCAGCGTTATCTTGGTTGCTCATAGAGAATAACGAACCTGTGCAAAAGATATCAAATGTGAATGGCCCCTAACGTCTAATAAAGTAAATCGTATCTCAAAGCTTTCACTAGGGGAGTTTTTTTTGCACGGTCTCCCTGTGCCGCCCCCAGCAAGATGCTGCCCTGGGCAATCGCCCATATTCTCATACCTAAATCCGCCACTGCTCCAAGGCCATGACTGCAATAGTATGCCAAAGAAAATCGAGTAGTGCTTTCTGTATTGTAATAATAATGATTAAAGTCCCCCTGAAATCAAAAATAATGACGTATGGTTAGAACAAAACAAAAACTCCTTTTAATGTGGACAATATTCCTTCTACACTGCAAAAAATGCTTTTCTTACTTAGATTTTTTTGTCTTGTTTCTAGTCAAAATATCTAAAAATTCTTAAATCAAGAAGACTTTTCCTGACAAGCAAAACATATTGTCTTGTTTTAAGAAATAATATGCAGAATTAAAGTTAGTTTTTCCCTAAAACAAGCAAAATAATCTGCCAATGGGGTTATCAAAATAATGTTGTCTTTGGACGGTATGGAGAAAACCGGGGAACCCAGGGGAAACTCACGCTAACATGTGGAGAACATGCAAGTTCCGCACAGAAAGGTGTTCTTGCTGTGAGGCAACAGTGCTAGCCACTGGGCCGCCGTGCCACCTATTGGAAAAAAGGGGGGAAGTAGGCGTGGAAGGTGGGAACTTTAAGAAGAAGATAACTGACGTGAAAAACTCTGGTTATTTATAATGCGTCTGTAATCATCTGATTGGGCAGATTACAGAGCTAATGTGGTGCCATCCGTGTTGATCATAAGCACGTGATCCTCTCGAAATTAGTTTATAAATAAACAGAATTTTTTTTTCTGTGTAGTAAATTAAAACTGGTTAAGTCCAGTTTTCAGAGTTCAATTTAGTTCAATTCAAAGTGGTTTAATTTTCACTGCTGAAAGCCCAAACACTGAAGAGCAAATCCATCGATGCACAGCCCCACAAGTCGCGAACCAAGCAAGCCAGTGGCGAGTGGTGAGGAACAAACTTCAGAAGGAAAAATGGAGGAAAAAACCTTGAGAGTAACCAAGCTTAGTTGGGCACAGAATCTGTTCAGGATACGGCTTGGTCCAGGATTTTGGATACTTTGGCAACATCTATTCACAGGTCTTAGATCACATCAATGGCGCTGCACAATCTCTAGAGGCCTCAAGATGAGAATTCCCAGGTGGAAATTAAGAGCAAAGAAAATAAATAAAGAATATATCCTGTCCAATCATATGCTCTTCAGTACCCTACCCCCTAAAAAATTCTCTAAAAGACACTATTGCTGCAACTAAAATCAGTCACTTATTCATACAATTATTTCCTATACTGAACTTGTGCACAATTTGCACTATATACAGATCTACAAACAGCCCATGTGAAAAAATACTATAGTAAATATTATGTTTTTTAACCATACTACAATAATACTCTATTATATTGTAAATATTATAGTATTTACAACACTTTGTTAATGAATGCTACAGCGTTCTCTATTATTAACTATAGTGACCAGCTAAACTTTAACAAATAATAGAGTATACTATAGTTTTTATAATTTTGGAGTTAAATTTTGGTCACTTTCCAATGCAACCAGTCCTCCCCGCCTACTGTTTCTACGTGCCTGTCAGCGTGCATTAAATCTCCTCCCTCGGCTGCGTTAGACAACAGACAGACTTAAAGGAAGAAGGTCTCACGCAGCATGTGAGATATACTACAGTGTGAGAAATACCACAGTAAGAACTTTAACAATGAGTATTTGTTGTGCAGTTGCATTGATGAGTCGCACGCAATACCGTTACAAGACACGCACGCACACAGAGACAGACAGACAGACAGAGGGCACTTAGCTTTGCACTGTTTTTGCACGCAAATGTGACAGGATACAGGCTAATCTCCTCTGCTGTATGGATATCTGTTATGTTAACGTACAAAATAAACCTGAATTAACGTTCACAAACCAGGATTGAAGCGTCTTCCTTTATAATTGTTCTGACACGCGGCAGTGCTGATGAAGTAAAGCTGAAGTAAATCACGGTACTTCATTACACACGTGCACTGTTTTAAAACATTTTAAACATGTGAAACTTACTCTTGATCACATTTGATAATGATTGATGATCCTGGCAAACTGAACAGACCTTTTATTCCTGGTTGTTTTGCGCACTTCTGGTCTTGTT